AAATCATGTAGCTTGCCAATCGGGAGTAACATGAAAGATACGGCGCCAATAATTGAATTGCTGTTATGGTATGCTGTTTGTAAACTTAGATGGTCATTCCTTAATTAAATGTAATTGATTTGTAACTTCTACTAGAGCTGATGGTAAGAATTGAAGTGCAAATAAATAATATCGTGTGCAATCTTGATTAATATAAAATTAGAAATATTTGCATTCAAACAGAAATACATTTTAGGATAAAAAATGAGTTGATTTTTTATGTTTAAAAACTTCTTAAATTCATTTAATAAACATCGTACCCTCGTTGGTAATTGAATCCAGAATATTGGGTGTCGTTTATATAATTATTCTTACTTGTCCACAGAACCTACTGACTTATCGAGCCATTAACTAGGTGCAGATCATTTCTACATAACCATTGGACTTCCATTAATTTGGTCTCTAGAGGGTTGTATGTTTATACGAGGCGTATTCGGAAACTAAGTACCGTTTTGAAAAAAAAAAATAGTAAAACAATTTTTTCGAATCCAATTTTATTTTTACATGAAAATACATGTCTTAAACTATTTTTCAACATAGTTTCTGCCAATGATCAAACACTTATCATAGCGGGTGACCCTTTTTTGTATACCATCATCAAAGAAACTTCCCGCCAGTTTCTATAACCACGACTCCACAGCATTTTTCGTGTCATCATCAGATCCAAAGCACTTGCCACCAAGCTCGCGCTTCATGTGCAGGAACAAGTGATAGTCGGACAGTACCAAGTCCAGGCTGTACGGCGGGTGATCGAACTGCTCCCAATGAAACTGTCGAATTAATGATTGAGTGACACCAGCAGTATGGGGCCGAGCATTGTCATGGAGCAACACAGTTCCTTTACTGAGCATTCCTCTTCGTTTGTTTTGAATGGCATGCCTTAGTTTTGTTAAAGTCTCACAATATCGTACCGCATTCATGGTTTCACCTCTGGGAAGAAATTCAGTAAGCAAAACGCCTTTCCTATCCGAGAAGACAGTGCACATGATTTTTTGTGATGACATTGTCACTTTAAACTTTTGTTTTTTCGGAGAATGAGTGTGTCTCCACTCCATCGATTGTTGTTTCGATTCTGGTGTGAAATGACACACCCAAATTTCATTGCCTGTCACAATTTGGTTTAAAAAGTTTTCTCCCTCATCACTGTACCGCGTGAGAATGTCGGGGCACTACCAAGTCGCTTTGTTTTGTGAACATCAGTGAGCATTTTTTTAACCCATCGGGAACACAGTTTGCGATAATTCAAGCGGTCAGACACAATTTCGAACAAAACAGTACCTGAAATTTGTGGAAATGCCTCTGAAAGAGTTGTCATTGTGAAGCGTCTGTTCTCATGAATTGCTTCATCAACTTTCCTTACCAAATCATCGGTTGACAACAGAAGGCCGACCACTCCGAGCCTCGGCATGGACATTTGTTCGACCTGCATTAAACATTCTTAGCCACTTTCTCTCACCATTGCATCACTTATCGCGTATTCACCATAAACTTCTGTCACTTGACGATAAATTTCGGCCGGTTTAAAACATTCCTCGCGTTCAAAAATTTAATCACGGCACGAATCTCACAGTCAGCGGGAGAACTAATCGTCTTAAACATTTTGAATGTGCACAGCAAACTGAAAACACAACATAGAGCAACCAAAATGGCGACAATTGAAAGTCAGTGAACAAGAAAGACTAGTGTGCATGCGCGGGACGCCTACCACAGCGCTGCGATGGCACTAGAATGAAACGGTACTTAGTTTCCGAATACGCTACATACCATAATTTGACTTTTATAAGAATGATTATTCTAAATCTCATGTTTCTATAAAATATACTGTGCTTTAAAAATATGGATGATAGTATCAGCCACTTCATAAGCAACAGCTTGTTTAGAAATAAATTATGCAGTTAATGTCATAAAATATTTTCATAAAATTCAAATAACCATCAAACGAAGTTAAAGTAAAATAGCAGACGATAAAACACAAAAGATAGAAATTTTAAAAAATAGTTAAAAATTTGAATAATATCATCTATGATTTTAAAAAATAGCTTTTCAGATAGTATTAATAAATATTTATAACGCATCATTGAGGGAAAAAATGTCATATAATTAATTCTCCGTAAAATTTTATTTGAAATTTAAGGTTAAAAACAGCTGTGGCAATTCACTGTAACAAAAATCCATAAACCACATTTGGCGTTATTATCGCTCAAAAAAAAGGATGCCAAATTTCAAAATGTGAAAATATGCAAATTTGTCTATAGCTTGGAAAATTTTGAATAAAAAAGTCTAATTTTTTGCAGGTATGCTTAGAAATACAGCTTTTTTAAGATGATGGTAAAAATTTTATAGGTTATAATTCCAAATTTTTTTCAAAAACTTTTTTAAAATTATTTAAAAATACAAATTTTAAAAATAAAACACAAAAAATGGGTAAATTTTATTTGGAATGAACCTAAATTTCGTAATGTGAGAGGAAAAAATCAAAAAAAGTTTAATAAAAAAAGAGATATTAATAAATATTTGCCCAAATTCAATTAACATTGAGGAGCTAAAATTTTGAGAGCTAATTTTTTAAAAACTACTTGTACGAATTTTACAAAACTTTGGTACATTCTGGCATAATTTGAGTCGTAGAATCGAAATATGTAAAAAAATTGGTATATTATTTCAGAAAAAGTCCGATTTTGTGTCAAAAACAATGCTTGACAATTATTAATTAGAACAATTAGAACATTAGAACAGTGCTATAGATAAATCTAATATATATCCTAAGTCGTGCTTTCGAGACATGAAAAACGCAGTTTGAATTTTGTCAATCGGCCCAGTAGAACGGGAGATATAGCACTGTCTCCCCCTTTTTTACTTTGAGCAGTGTACAATTATACTTTATCTAAAAGACATATCTCATGCCATTCAGATATTTGTGTACATTGATCAGTGCAGCATTGTCACTGCAGATGCCTGTGTTTTACCCTTAACTGAAGGTAAGCAATGGTCACTGTGGCATTAACTTTCAAAATGGCATTTGATTTTGCATGCAGGTACTTTTTATTATGCCACATGCCATTATTTCTTATGCTATAGTTTGTTACTTTAGAATTGGGCACTTCAATGTCATATTTCCCTCTCCTGCATGCCTTGCGGCCATAGTAATCAGAGCTATGGCCAATGGTTGAATCCTGACTGTTTTTCAACCTCTTCATTTCTATCTGCCGTATTTTGCCTTTTGTAAAGCGCACAAATGAAGCTGATTTGAAATATAGTGTCAAATGAGTTGGTAGAAGTAAGTGCTGTGCTATAATGATAACATGTTATGATCATAATTGAGTATTAAGGGGGATGAGAAGATGTTGAAGTGCTTGTTTTAAAGAAATAAACAGACTACAGTAATGTATCATACTGTTACAAATGTTCATTAGCTTCCCCACAAAGCAGTTTTAGGGTTGCCAGAAAATGGCAAGAAAAGGAAGTGTTGCCATATTTGGCGAGAAATCGTCCATTTGGCAACAAAATCAACAATGTGCCATAGACGGATGGAGAACCTTCTGGAATTAATTCTTACTGGTTTGTCCCAGAATGTTTTCGAACACAAGCCAGAAGCTATATAAACCCTGCTGGTATGCGGAGTTAGTTAGTTTAGTGTGGAGTTAGTGAGAGTCCATTAAGTTAATAGTCAGTCAGTGAGCGAGTGTCTTGAAGTCTAGTGCCGAGTTGGTTGTCAAGTGCACTGAAAGTCTCTTAGTATATCATGAGTTAGTGCATCGCCGAGTTTGATCTTAGAGTGTGTTGAGCTCCGGGAATGACTGAACCGAAGAGTCGGGAGTTGTACTCTAGTGTACTAGAGTGCATCACGAGTTGTAGCATGGAGAGTCTTGAGAGTATGTGGAGTTCCAAGAATGACCGAGGAGAGTCAGGAGCTGTACTCTGGTGCTTTGCCATGAAGCTGTCTGCACTGTTATAGCCTGATTGCCTGAAGGTTGTGTCGCTGATGGTTACAGCGTGTCTATAGTAGTTCTTCAACGACTGTAAAAACGTGATTTTGGAGCTTTCCTGAAAATACTGGCCAATAAAGTGTGTTTGGATACTTCATCAAGTGCTGTTGTCGTTATTCACTCCAAATCCACGAACCCTTAAACGTAACGTAAAGGAAGAGAAAATAATGCGACAGTATGGCCATGTTGTCCATAAGAGTAGTTACTTTTTTATGTGTGGTACATTGTATAGCCTAGTCTCCACCCTGTTTGTTTGCTTAGGTGTGCCACTTTATGCTATTCACAGTCTTTATTTACATGTAAAAAATAAGGCCTAGCAAACTGTAAATTTTGAGAATTGTTAAAATTTGGTATGCGAGAAAATTTGTAATTTGTTTTTCAAATGCATTGCATATGAAGAAGTTAAACAATATTTATATATGTAAACTCACACACACATATGTATTTCTTAATAATTTGAAGTGCTTAAAAAATAATGACAATAATTTAAAATTTTATACCAGCAACATGCCCAATTCAGTGTATAACTGTTCAACGATATAATAGTGGTTATTTGAAACAAACTTTGTTTTTATGTGTAATTCATGATCCTAAAAGAATTTAAAAGTTAGACATAGGTTTAGCAACTTATTTCAAAATATTTATGGTTATTTATAAAAACAGTTATCAAAAGAACATAGGAACTTACTTCAATACCAAGGAACTGTCACCTAAAATCATCTGCCATCTGCATTTCATTGCACACATCTGAGAGGTTGTATGGATTTCAAATGTTTGGTGTCCTACTTTGTAAATTAATCTGCTCGATTTTGCATTACTTCCCACTCAAAATGTATTGAGCCTTTTCATTTGAAATAAGCTGAATATGGACTGAATCATGTCTGTAATAGTTTAAGTGATTGATTTCTTATTTGTAATATTTAAACTTATGTTTTATAGTTAACTGAAAATTTTATTTTCCTTTCTGATTTTTAGTTATGAAGATACACCCTTCACAAATCAAACAACAGGTTGGCCTTATCTTTGGACACAGCAGATTGCTGGTATAGACTTTTTAAGCATATCCACGGAAGGATCTGTCTGCACTCAAAATAACCCAAAGGTGACATCACTTTTTATGGAAGGAGCAATAAATGCCATTCGTTCTCGCCTAATAGCTCGTTGTCAATTAAGTCATCAAATTGCTTCTATAGGTCTGTATCTTGAAAAATGTTTGCCTTTATTGCTATCTGAGTTTTATTAGGATATTTTTTTAATCAATTTATGTATTATACCTTTATTTATAACTTCTAACCTTTACTTATAACCCTTTTTTTAGATATTTTTTATTATATTGTTGATCTACAAATTTAGTATATTTTTATTTTTTCAAGTACATCCTTTTTTCCCCTTCTTTAGAAGGCAGACACATCATTTTAATTGCATGAATGCTTACATTTCATGATCTTACTTAGAAGGAAGAAGGCACATTGTTTTAATTTCCTGAATGCTTAAATTTCATGTTAACAAGCTGAAATATAAATTTTAAAAAATTCAACTCTTGAAGACAGTTAAAATATTTTCCCTAATTTATTTACCTTACATGATTGGATTAGTTAACACTGTGTATGTACATGTTGTCATACAGCATGATGTCTAAAATGGAACAAGTTCTGTTGAGCTTAATTTTCCCACTGAATGGGGTAATCACAAATTAAGTCTTATTACTAGTAGGTTAAAGCCTTTCATGTAAAATACACTGTTTCTATTAAACGGTTTTAAAAACCTACACAAACATATCATATACGTTTTAAAAAATTAATGTAAGTTTTTAAAATGTTTTACGTTATTATGAGGATTCGGATTTTGACGAACTCCAAACCCATGAACAATACTAATAGAATTATTATATTTACAGTGGTTTAGCTAAAAGGGGAGTGTTTTGGCCTGGGTAGCATATTTTTGAGGCCATCATTTTTCATATAAAAGATATTAAATAGGACACATGGACTTTCAGAGCAGAAAAATGATTTTGATTTATTGGATTATAGCAAAGCTCACTTCAGTACCTAATAAAAGAGAGAGATGTCTGTGATGAAAGCTTAAAACAGATGACTGGCTCATATTCATTTTGTGATATGGGCACTTTCTTGTATCCACTTTATGAGTTATGTTATGCGTACAATTAACTACAAAAACACTCTTGTTATTTGGGATTTGACCCCAGTTGAAACTACCAGTATTTGGCCCTCTTATCAACTCAGATATTGGTGAAGAGAAGAAATAAGATGCAAATTATCCTACAAAATTGAATTGAAGACAAAATTGGCTTTACACTTGACAAAGTATTAAAAGAAGTAACTAAAAGATTTCAACAACTTCATGTTTTTTTTATGTCTTCCTTATTTCACAGAAATGTTATGAATAAATAATACTAATTAAATTATTGATGATGAAATGATGATTCCCCCCTCTAGCATATTAATGTATGTACAGTGTTTCTTTTACCTTTTTTAATTTGTTTTTAAATTCTGTTTTATGTAGATCAAAGAACAAACATACCACCAAAGTTTGCCGCACTTTATCCACTGAATATTTCTTCACAATTAAAAAAGTGGAGTCCAGTTGATTGGAAAGAAATTATGGTAAATTTTCATTGTAATAATTTAAAAAAAATGTGAAATATCAATCTGCGTCTTGACAAGAAGGGGGCTCAATATTAAAAAAATCAATTATATTTGAAATTTTTATATCGTTATTTATAATTCATGAATATTATCATAGGGAAATGGCTCAGTATTATTTCACTATTCTATTCAAAGTCAGACTCATTTTAAGAGACCAATGTTAATATGAATATCCAAATAAAAAATATTTATAGGTTATTTAAAATATACAAGAAGGAATTAATCCTCGGGAAAATGTTCTCATGAATAATAATGCTATGATTCTCAAACTTGTTAAAATCAAGTACCTGCTTAAAAACAAAAAACGCCCTAGAAGTCAAGCCACCTTCTTTTTTTTAATTGTTTTTTATTTATTTAAGTACAGAAATATTGCTGTGTACTACTTAGTATCATTTTCAAATAAATTATCAACTTTTTGTTAACAGTTTTAATTATTATTCATGTAGCAAATTAGAAATGTTGAGTGTTTATTAATTGGCATTATTTTCTTTTTTAGAACTATGTAAACTTTAAAGAGTTGCAGGAACTTAATGTTGTAAATGAAGATGCAATGGTTTTCAATGCAGAAATACAGCGCGGCTCTGGTATTTTTTTGCTTTTATTTATTTAAGCATTTCTTAAAAGATGCATCAAGCATAAAAATGGCATTTTTGCATAGAAATGAACTGAATATTCTGTATTTATCACTAATATTTTTTAATATTTCGTTTAGTAATTTCATTAGTATTCATTCCTTTTAATATTTAAATAAGGCAGCAAATTGTACTAAATTCTCATTTCTAATTAGTCCTCATTTTCTTTCTTTCTATGCTTTTTTTTAATGAGGTGGGGTGTTTCAGAGCTCTAGAAATATGTGCATGTGGAAGCACTTGCATACATTCTCGTCCGTTTTCGTTAAAAAATAATTTATGATATACCTTGTATATACATGTATTTTTTTACAAACAGGATTATTTAGTGAGAAATTACAATGGTATTATTTAAGAGTTTGATTAGATTTGGAGGAACATATTGAAGCTTGGCTGTAAATTTGGCATCATTTGGCAAAAAGTTGTCAAACTAATGTCTGTTGAACAGTTTTCAGTGATATTTGAAAATTCTCAAAAAGAATGTTTTCATTAAAAATATTTTTAAGGTATGATTTTTTTAGATTGAATGAGTCATTTAAAAAATTATCATATCAATGCTTCTTAATAATATTTTGCAACAAGTAAGATGCTTTAAAGTAGATGTGGCAGAATGCAGCCTTTTCAGTTGCTTAATTCAGCCCAATATAAAATTCTGTGCAAAAACATTTTCATTTCTTTCCAATCCGTTTGTGTACACAAACTATCAAAATCAACAGCATATGTGCACATATGTTGCAGTGTATATGTACATATATATGCATGACTATACTAGCAGTCAATCCAAGTTGAGAACAACTAGGTATGTTAGAAAGTATGTATATTCGTCAAAGAATATAGATCTATCATTTCTTGCCGCTTTAATTTGGAAGTTAAACAATGAACTATGGAAATTGTTGAAATAAAAAGGCTGATAAGAAATAGGATTTTAGGAAAAGAACATTTCACCTCTAAACTTTTATTTAAAATGAAACAATATACATGTCAATTGTTTGATGACTATTAGGAACTGATCCCCCTCTTTTTTTGTGTGTGTGTATTTGGCAGAATTGCAAATAGCCAGTACTTCTTTTCCTTCCTTTACTTCTTTTCCAACCATACTTCTTTTCCTTCTAAGAATAGCACTAATATAACCATTTACCCTAGACCTAAAGAACTGAAAGCAATGCAGTATTAATGTTCATTAAAATATTGTAGTAATCACCTACAAGTGAGTTAGAATGTTATTTTAATGAAATAATCACAAATGAATATTTTAGATTTCAAGTCTCACATTAACATACAAGGTGGTCATAAAAGAAGCTTCCACTATATGAACCCCTAGCGGCTAATGCTCATCCAATCAAAATGAAATTTCAGATATTGTTATTTGAAGGTATGCCCTCAAGATGTAATGATTTAAAACAATAGCGCTTGTAAGAAATTTTATCTGGAAATATATTTTAATCACCAGTAGACTACATAAATGCTTCATGATGTATATTTCTTGTTCTTGGATCTGGCAGCACCAGTAGAATGTGAGTTGGAATTGAATAAACTTGAAGCTTGATTCATATGTTCTTCGCCTTTTGATTTTGCTGTGATTTGAATTGAATAATGCTTTTTGAACCATGAAAAAATGAAATCTTTTAGGTTGTATCAATTACATTATATTTTTGGTGCCCAACAGTTGCGCATGAACAGTCTTTTGGGGATTTCAGAATGCATGATAGAAACAGTTGCCATTGCACATGGTGTTCCATCATTCGTTATTCTATCCCTGTGAATTACAGAAAGTGCGTCAATGTACACTGCACAGTTTATAGCACGATAAAAAGAGGGGATATCTCCCCTTCTACTGGGTCGATTGACGAAATTCAAATTGCATTTTCCATGTCTCCAAAGCACGATTTAGGATATATATTAGATTTTTATATAGCTGTGTTCTAACATAGGTATTTTGACACAAAATTAGACTTCTTCTGAAATAACATAACAATTTTTTTCCATATTTCAATTCTTCGACTCAAATTGTGCCTAGATATTAAATTTTGTATTTTTTGGTGAGAAATTTAAAAATTTATGTTGGTGATCTTCCCCACAACATTACTGTGGAAATAGTACTGTGATTCTGAATGTCTAGGCCATGTAGAAACTATCCCAGTAACCCATAGCCTCTTTTACTTGTGAAACCCAAGATAAGCTACCTGTGTTTTATGAATTTAGTTATTTGACAACAGATCAGCCACATTCAGATTTAGTAGTTAGATTAGTAGGTTTTCTTTTTAGGGGCTGAAAATTAATCTTATCACCATCAACTATTATCCTGTTCTAGCTTTTTTCCCCTTCTAAAATTATTTCATGTCATTAAAAAAAATGTATCTTACTTCACCTGACAAGGAAAAGTGGAAGCTTATTGTATTAGTTATGCTATATGTGCAACTTCCAAGGAATCAGCACACACCAGAGTGCTGATTAATTTTGTACCATGTGCACACTTGCCATTTTATAGCTATGGAAGATATTGCTGTAACTTTAACATAAGGTCCTCTTTAAAAAATTACCAATACGTATGTGTAGGGTTTCTTTTATAAATCTCTAGAAAAGGGTTATCCAAAACTATAGAAGCATTAAAAAATAATAATAAATAAGCATTATATGCCTAATTTGATTCCCTCCCACTTGATATATCGTGATAGTCCCACTTGATATATCGTCGTTATAGGTAAGTGAATCAAATTCACTTACCTATAACGACATTAGCCATTTCTAAGGCCAGAAGTGGCGGTCATTTTATTGTGGGGTCATCTAATAAGCAGTCATCGTTATCCCCTATGAAGGGAGATAGACAATTTTACATCCATGCCTTCTTTGGGATTCAAACCCAGGCCCTTCGGTATTGCCGTCAGGCTCTCCTAAGCACTATACCGTCTGGGTGGCCCTTAATTTGATATAGGAAAGCACCTTTGGTATACAAAATTACTTGAATTCTTAAAGTAGAGGTATACTAGTTCTGAATGGTTGTAACGGGTATTTTAAACCCTTCTTTCATCAAAAATTGCTCTCATTTTTTTAAGAGATGTGGTGCAGACAAACTGGATTTCTTTCTATTTCCGACCACAGGCCACAGTGATGATACTTAAATCCAGTATTTGTGCAGGCTTCATCTTTATGTCTCCCAAATATTTTTGAACAACTTTGGTGAATGCGGGCTTTATCATTTTGAAAGATGCAGTTATAAGTAAAACCGTAGAAACAGTGTCTGTGTCATTAACTGGATGTGGTCGCTTAAAATGGTTACTACTATTATAGTCACTACTATTTATTCTTCTTTCTAAGGTGAAAATTGGACCTTCTGCAAACCACTGTAAGACTGTCTAAAGTATAGCTAAACTACAACCATATGTTATTGCATGAAGCAGACAGTCGGGATCATAAGTTTCTGTTTGTGTTCTCTGCACAATAAGCCTGTCCTAAGATGGGAAATATTGTCCAGGTTGACTGATCAGAAAACACTACTTATTTACATTAATCAACATTTTATACTTTATGTCCTGGCACTAGTTTGTATAATTTATTCATTTATAAAAAATAAGGTTTAAAGTAGCAACTTTGCTGTAAATATTATATGGTTCCTGTGTGTCAAAGCTAATTTTGTAAATACAAATTAAGTGCAGTAGTTTTTCACACAACAGTTCCCTCTGATGTCCTTCTTTCTGTATCAATAAATTTCATTTTGCTTCCATTGTGCATCTTACAGATGATATTTTGCCATGATTTCGGGCACCGAATCTCTTAGTGCCACCAGTTATTTTGAAACTTAGGTTGCAGAGGCACATGGTTATTTTTTATGGCCGTTTTTAATGCACAAACTAATAATCTAACCTTTAGAACTCAATAAAGTCATTCATTTCTTCCCTACAAATTTTTACAAATTACAATCGAAGTTTGCAGTTTTACTCAATCTTGAAAATACTATGTAAAATAACTATGCCAAAAAATAATGTGATGTCTAATTTTACAGTTTTATTATGTAATTGGTAGAAATAAAAGTAATACTCTTTAAGCATGGTGTTTCCATTATTTTGCACAACCCTGAAGGGCTGTTCTCACTGGGGTTTATTTGAGCTTAACGGAGTCAGTTCCATGTGCCGACTAGATCTGCTATGCCTGCAGTTCAGATTTTTCAACTTGCTGCCATGTGGGAAAAAAGTGATTTTGGAGATGCATCGGCTGCATCAATCGTCTCCGTTAATTCCGATAAACCCCAGTGGGAATGATTCTTGCGTGTCATAGGAGACCAGATCTGGAAACCTGAGAAAGAGCACAACACATGGTCAGCTTGTGCAGTTCAACAGATCTAGCATTGAAAAATAGTTATGATCTGATATCGTATTGAATGTAACTTCAAGATTAACAATTCACTTCTTTCTATTATTGACAAAAATAAATAAATAAATAAATAATTGAATAACAAAATTATTTATTTGTTGCAAAATATTTGACATGTAACATTCTTCTTATTGTCTCATGGCAAAATTTCTTCACGTACAGAACAGCAGCTTCTAACAGTGCTACAAAATTAGCTTTAGAGATTTCTTAACACTATCCATTTGATAATTTTATAAAAATGGCCATGGTTTCATCACACAAAATGAATTTAAATTTAAGAAAGTAACATACGTCAATATGAAGTACATTTATCCAACATAAACATAAAGCAATAAAGGGAAATTTTATAGTAATAACAAACAGATAATATCCTAAAATTCAAAAGCTATTCAATAAGTAAATATTAAATCAAGTTACAAATAGCAAAATATAAATAATAACATAGCAACTAATTAAATGTTACATAAAATATGCGTGAAATATATGAATGTTAAATAAAATTTGCTGATTCAGTGCCTAATTAAGTTTGAGAGTTCAAAGGGATATGTCAGTTTCCTAGGTCTTTTAAACCCCCCTTTTTTAGTTTTTACCACTCATGACCATACCAACCTTTCAAAACTTGAATTATGCACCTGAAATCCCACAGGAACTTAAATTTTTTTGTTTCTTCAAATAAAGTTATGTCACCAATTTCAAGATTCCCTTTAATTTCAGGAATACTGAAGTAATGTGCATTTCATAATTTGAGAAAATACTGCTTTCTCTGTTCTCCTAAATCTGACTTAAGTGATATTGTTTTGGTTTGATTAAACTTTCTCCTTTTGAAGAATTCGGGATCTGTGCAAAGCTAAGTGGATATTCTGTTTCATATCAGAGAAAATTAGTTACTGTAAGTAGTTCGGGTTCATATCGGTTGTTATAAATGCATGTCAAATGTTGTCTGTTCATAATATTTTTACATTCCATGAGGGCAGTCAAATTCTTAAAAATTCAATTGAAGTCTTTATCTCTTTTTTCTTTTTAAAGGCTCTTTAATTCTGTTCATAAGGTGTTCATTTCCTACCCAGCATGGCTCAAGCTCCACAATAAATGTGTCTAGGTCAAGCCTTGTAAGAAAACTTTGGAAGTCTTCTTCTCCTAATTATGCTGTAAAAATACTATAAATATTTTGCAAAATATGTAAATGTTTTTTTCGTAGCGTGAATAAAAGGTACGACAGTTAACTGTTTTTGAGATAAAATATCTGACAGCCAAAATGAATTTATTTGCAGACATATTGAAAATAAGTTTGAGATTTAACATATGTGTAATTGCACATGCAAACAATACAATATATGATTTCTGGTTGTCATTTCCAAAATTCATGTAACCAAGACCTATAAAGTAAATAAAAGTAACATAGAAAAGTGAAAGTTCTACAATTCTGTTTGTAGATAACTGAACTGACATTTGTTTCTATGGTTTTACTGCATATTTTCAATAAATTAGGTAGCTTCCTGTGAGAGTCTGCCTTTGGGAATGTAAAATTTCTGTTGTAGTTTTGCCAAGGTTGCAGCAACTCCTGTGTATAGAACATTTTTATATTCTTAGTTTACAATCAATTAAATAAATCTGGAATCTGTTTTAAGAAAGACTCCCCCCCTTGTATATTTATTTTACTCCCATTTTCCCTTAATTCAAAGAATTTTATTTTTATTAAGAAAGTTTAGAGAAATAAATTTGTAAGTTTGACGTGCCCTGGTTTCATGTGAGAAGAAATCCACCTGTACTTTGCAAACACCAGATATTTCAACATTGTGATTTTCAGAAACTCTTAATGGGCCACTATTGCGAATTGTTTTTTAATTTGTGTGCAATAAAATGTTAGATCCATTTTACAGTTCTGAGAAATTTCATCACATTACTGAATTTCTTTTATGACTAATAGTTGTTCATCTCTTTTTACGGTAGCATCATAAACAGAATATCTAATTGTAGTGCACTAGTTCATCATTCTTTTTGTCAAAATTCTGTTGAATTGGGCAGTTAATGCATTGGTTTTGCAACCTTTTCTGGACTAACCACTGAAGTGAGCTGGTTTTCTGGGAGTTTATGTCTAAACTTCTGTTTAATAAATCTGCAAAGTTTTCCTTACTATTGCAGTATTTCCAACCATTGTAATTTATCATGGCTTAAATTTCTGCAACCCTTAGAGGTAAAGGGTTTCCAATTTCTTGACAATAATTTGATCTATTGTAATATGGTTTACAAATTTGCCCAAAAGTTTACAAATATGATTGAATATATTAGTTGTATCTATATACTACAGTAGAATTCCAGAAATACGCAAAGCTTGGGACCAGAGGTTGTGCGGATTTTAGGATTTTGTGGATTTCAAGACAGAAAAGATAAAGCATAATATTCGGACTAAAAGTGCGAAATGAATAAGGCGTATTAGATACATTTAATTAAATTATTATATACATTATTGCGATAATTTATTATATGCATTAAATTATTGTTACGTATATAAATGATTATATTATTCATTGTATATATGTACACAGCTCGAGGTTTGCCGATTTTGCCTCAGCAAAGATTTCCAGTGTTAGAATCACTGTTGCTGTAACTTTCAACAGCTTTTCTTTATTTTTCCATATATCGTACACAATCATATCGCTTCCATACCATCTGCTAAAAAAAAATGTGCAATCTTTGCACTTTTTGCATTACCGTCAATGCAACGTGTTTACGTTTTTCAATGTTGCAAGCAGTAAATCAAGGTGCTTTCTTATCTGTTATGTATTAAAAAGGACTGAAATTAAAATATTCTTAATTTATCCACAAAATCCGGATAAAAAAAGGAGCACTAAACAATTCGTGAAATAAAATAAAAAGCCCAGAAAAACAAACAATATGAATCGTGAATTTGAACAAAGAGTTGAGTGATCGTCTGCTTTTTTACTCGATGCCGAGGAGAGGGGGAAAAACTTGTTTATTTTATCTTTTTTTTACTTTTTATATCAATAATTTGGTATTTTCCATTTGACTCATTATTATTGGGTAATTATGAAGTCATTATCGTAAGTATGTGGTCTTCGAAGTTTGTACTCATGTTGCGGTTTCTGGAACCCATAAACTGAATGTTTATATTCTGAGAGGCAACGTGGATTTCAGGAGTTGGCGAATTTTCGGTATTTGACTGTATAATTATATTAGCACAACAACAACAATTTTCAAATTCTAGCTGCTGTGATTGCTTCAGTGTATTCTGAATGGGGAAATGTTATACTTTTAAGAGGAGCTATTCTATGTTTCAATAAAATTAAACTTGTTTTAATTTTTCCAGCCTTGTAATATATCTAAAATATGTTGCACTTTCATATGCATTATTGCTTGCATCTCAAAATGTCACTATTTAACTTACCAGTGTTTTGAAAACATTTTCTTTGAGTCGATAATGTTTGTAATGAACTTGTTTCTTAAATTTGGTCTTGAAATTGTTTGGGACCTGTTCAGACAATCAAGATCTTTTATCCCTATTTATTTGTGGTTTCAATTATGATCATAAATGTGACTACGAATCCAACTGAATTATAAATTTTAAATGTGATTTGCAACACTGTTCTTTAGTGTATTTAAAATTATCACAGTTAACCAAAGGGGTCGGTAATGTGGTGTCTCTACAAAGCAGACTGAAAATGTCAGTTGGTCAAATGTCTGAATTATAAATTTTAGATATTTAAACAATAAACATTCATAATTGCAACAAATAATTTTAGTAAAATTTCTAATTTTTACAATTGTATGAATTTGATTCCACATACAGTGAACTATTTTATGCTCACATTGTCCTCGTATACTCTGCCGAACAACAGTATGTTATGCTTTATATCCCTAATCTTTGTTCATACGTGAATTTCTCTTTTCATTCCATAAATTTTATATTTCAAATAATAAGCAAAGTATGCATTTTTCTCTTAAGATCAAAAGGTAATGAAAAGATACAGACAACAGTGCTTTTTAATCGTACTAAGGAAGTAATGTCCCTTCAGTTGATTGTGCATTCACAACTTATTTCAGTTGCGATAACTCCTATCTTCAAATTCTAATTTGAATTAAATTCACAGCAATTCATACTCACATGCTTTAATACAGTAACTATATCAATTGAACAGCTTGTATGCATTTTCTACTGTGTAGGCACAAAAATATAAATCATCAACATTTAAAGATGAATTTGGCACTCATAACTTTCACATATAACATTCTTTACATTTTCTCGTGGTATAAAATTTCTTCATATACAGAAGAGGTTAAGGGCGATATGTTTCCAAGAAATACAAGACATTAATTAGAATGTATTGAAAATAATATTTATTTTTGCTTGAAGGTCTTCTGAATGTCTGTTCTGTAAATTTATATTATGGTATTATTCTATTTATATGTCACAGTAATTTAATTTTATGTGATGTTAGAAAAATTTAATGTTTTTCAGTTTACTTTGGTTTATAAATATAATTAATTTTTACCCAAATAATGCTTATCAAAATACTTCTGTGTGGTGATGTTTTGAAGGTTAATTTGTTTTAAATTTATTTTACAGCTATATTATTAGTTACAGTGACCATACCACCTGATTATCCTGTAAAAACACCTGTTTTTCTACTTCAATTGAATTGGAAAGGTTGTTATACTGCAGTTTCTAGTTTGGCTTTAAGGGTAAGTGCTTTTTATTCACTGTCGTGTCTTTTATTATATTTTAAATCTTTCTTCAACATATTGGCAGTCTGAAGTTGATAAAACCTAGTCATTATATTATTTTTTATTTAATAATGTTAAAATAATTCTGGAGAGGGGGGGGGGCATTTTTAGCAAAGATGGTAATGGTGATATAAACCTTGCATTTCTGCTTTTTGATAGTTGTATCTTTCAAAACATAAATTTCTTTCTTATATTTTGATACATTTTTACCTTTCAAAAAAAGATTTCTTTCAAAATGTAATCACTCATACAGTCAACTCCCAGTTTACCAGGAGTGATATTCATGCTTAACTCCAAAATTACAGTTAAAACAAATAAATTACTCGTGTGATAATTAATAGGAAAATACTATTAACCATTATCTGTATTTTGAAGAAATTTAATCTGGAGAATTAGTTTAGTTAGTTAGACAAATTAAAAACAAAAAGAACATGTTTGTGTACATGAACATGAACAGAAGAATAATGAATAGAAATGAAGACTTCTGGTTATAAATAACATTACAGAAAAATACTTGCTAAAGAATTTATTAAAAGATGATCAGAATTTTAATGGGAATATATGTGAAACAAAATGTTAATGGTTGTACACTTGATTTGTTTTTATGATCGAGTAATTTACTTTTCATGGATGATTTTACAATGTTTATGTATTTAGAATTATGTACAATTAAATTACATAAAAATAACTCCCAAATACTAAGACATCTTCTCTACACTGCTATTAACTTGCAAATGAATTATTATTATTTTCTTTTTGTATATTCCATAAACAGTTTTGGTTTAACTGATGGTTTGTACAATAATTTTTCCATCATTGCACAATAATAACTTTTTTTTATAAATTTAATAACTTTTTTAGACAAGATTAATTCACCTGTTCTAAATTGAGAACCAACTGTGTGTATAACTAAATTTTGCCGTTAATAAGATTGTGATGCATAAAATGATATTATGTAGGACAGGGATGTCAAACTCATAGGTACACTTGGGCCAAACAAACAAGATTTAACTTAGGCGGCCGCAAAAAAAAAAAAAAAAAAAAAAAAAAAAAAAAAAATCAATATTCATAGAAACGTAGATTTATTTTGAATAATACAATAATAAACATGTATATATATTTATATAGAAAAGAAAAAGAAAATTTTAATGTTTACGTCCTGATACTTGACATCTCTTCTCTGCTATTATCTTTCCTATTTCGGGAGAAATTTTGTTTGCAGTGATAACTTTCAACGCTGACCCAAGGTGAGCATCATTAATACGGTTTCTAATAGGAGACTTATTACCTTTCATGACTGAAAATAACTGCTCGCACCGATAAGTGCTACCAAACATGGAAATAATTTCATATGCGAATTTTCGAGTATTTTCAAACCTGGCTGGTAAATATTTGTAAAATTCAGGCACGCCCACTTCAATGAATTTTGCTTTCAAATTTGAGTTGCATTGAATCTCGATCACCTCCATTTGCATATGGCTGGGTACTGAGTCAATACTTATTGAGAAAATCGAAGAAAAAAAAAAACAAAAAAAAAATTTGTCTTCGAGGGAACTAAAATCATTAAACCTCGTTTCAAATTCAGTTGTTAAATTTGCAATTTTTTCTGCGTATTTTTGATACGAACAAGTATCATCTAAACTTGATTTGTTCATGCTGCACGTCGGGAAGTGCGTCAAATCTTCATTTTTAAGTTGTTTTTCCCAAAGAACTAGTTGACATTTGAATGCTTTAATTATGTCAAACATGTTCGTAATGATATGATCTTTTCCTTGTAACGATAAATTTAAATCGGTTAAGTGTTTGGTTATATCAACCAAGAAAGATAAATCTTGTATCCATATTGGATCGTAAAACAAACTTACGTCTTGATTTTTCGTTTTTAAAAACTGACATATTTCTTCTTTCAAATCCCAGAATTGTTTGGAGCAAGATAACCAACGTACCTCGGTATAGTAGGAAAACCCGAATATTCACTATCTAACTCACTTAAGAAAGCAGTGAATTGACGCTGATTTAAACCTCGAGATCTTATAAAATTTATAACTTTTTTTATATATGACAAAACATTCTCCATATTTATTACTTTCGTGCATATAAAACTTCTTGATGTATAATACAATGCATATGATGAATGTTTGAACCGTGAATTTCACTAAGTTTTTTCTTAGTAATGCTACGAAGCCCTTGTTTTTCCCGGTCATTGATGGAGCGCCATCTGTAGCTACAGAATTTAATTTTGCCAAAGGTAGATTGTATTTCTGCAGAAGTCCAAAAACACAAGTAAATATATCTTCTCTCTGTGGTAGTACCAGGCATCGGTATTAGTTCCAGTAATTCCTCAAAAATGTTAAAATTCTTGTCACAAGAACGAAGAAACACTGCTAATTGAGCTTTGCCACTAATGTCCGTGCTCTCGTCACAGGCAATGGAGAAACTTTCGAAACTAGATGATTTTGCTTTGATCTGATCACTTAAATTCGCGGCTAAATCAGTAACTCTTTCCGCAACTGTATTTCGAGACAATGAAATTGATTGAAAAGCCTTCACATTTCCAGGACAAACAATTTCTCCAGCTTTCATTAGGCATTCCTTGATGAAATCACCGTCAGTAAAAGGCTTCGAATGTTTAGCTATCAACTCGGACAAGACGTAGCTTGCATGTACCGCCGCTTCACTTTCTTGCAATACTTTACTAAACATGGACTGTTGCTTTTTCACTCCTAACTTGAGCTCTTTCAACTTTTCTTCTCTCATTAATCCTTCGTAATTGTTATATTTCGATTTGTGTTGTTCGTAATGACGTTTAATATTATATAACTTTGGTACATTAATAGTATTATTACATATCAAGCAGATTATTTTATCTTTTATTTCACAGCAAAAATATTCTAATTCCCATTTTACTTGGAATATTCTATGTTCGTCAGCGATTTTTCGTTTAATTTTACTACCACTTGGTTTTGATATAGACATACTGAATACAAAGAGCTGGAATAAACACGGTTAACGTTAAAAAGTTAACAAAAATTTATTCTTTCCACAAGAGATAATTCAAAATGCTGAAATATTTCTTCAAAAATATTCTAACAATATCACAAAATGTCAAACGTTTAGCAAAAATCAATTCAAAACAGAGGAACTAATTCTATCTCACAGCGAAATCGCTACAAATCAATCACAGCATTAAGTAAAACAAACAGTTCGCTAGAACTACAGCTACTACTGAGATGAGTTGTTTGTTCTCGGCTTTTATAAGCTTTTTATAATTAATTTCTCGAATATACTGGAAACATCTATAAATATCTGGATTTTTGTGGATGGCAAAAGCAATTACGAGATATTTATTTATTAGGTATTAAATGCACGCACTGTTCTATTTTTAACCTTCCAACGCAGCTGTCTTTTCAAAAATCGTCTGCATTGCTAAGGCAACATGAAGCAAATCTAATTACAATTCTAAATAAAAAAAAACTAAATAAATAAATAACTATGAAATCCGTAACATTATGATTTAAGTAATAATTAATGCACCAATATATCGTACAAAACTATGATTGGAAAACTGAAGCCATGAGTTCGGCCACATTCGGCAATCGGGGGATGCGTACAAGTTCTGAGTGCACATGTGCCCCAAAAGCCGAAGGTAGCTGAACGCAAGCTACTCACACGCATTTGTAATTTAAGTAGTGTGTGTGTCAGCTCGCTGTGAGTAATCTAACAACACTGAATAAATTATCGTTAATTACTTAGCAGTAAACATTTCATTTTTTTCTTCGTCGATATGTTATTTTATTATTATATATTATTATTTGCCGGGCCGCAAAAATATTTGTTGTGGGCCGCGAGTTTGACATCCTTGATGTAGGAGGTTGTTCCCTGTGCCATTAAGACCTTGCCATTGATTGTTACTACAGTACAAAGTCCGAGATCCGGATGTCTATTATCAGCAATGATCTAAAATCTGGACCCTACAGCCAAAACTTTTTTTTAAATGCTTTAGGCATGCACATTTTTCCCCCCCTTCCCCGGTAAGAAAACATCTGGATAATCCCAATTCTTAATTTCACTAAATAAAGGCAGTAATAAAATACCCTTGTTAATGAAGAAATGATAACTTTAGCATAAATTTGTGTGATCAATAATTTAGCTCCGTAGCTGTGTATCTGCTTGGTATACGTCTCAAACCAAACATTCTACATAGAAATACTAATATTTTATATCCCTGACACCATCCTGGCGAATCATAATTTATTATATTTTGCTTTCATCACCGTATGCTTATCAACACATGACAACTTATGCAGTGATGGCTAAACAATTTTTTTTTTTTTTTTTTTTTTTTTTTTTTTTTTTTTATATTAGTAATTGAATAACAAAGAATTTTGGAAACCTTTTATGTTGACATTACGCTTGGCGATGATTACAGATTTAAGTTAAAATGTGCTAAATGTTGACAAGGAAAAGTATAACAAAAATTGCTTTCAATATGCTAAGAATTAATTTTGTTAATGAGATTCATAGGCCAAAAGATTACATTTAGTGCTATTAGAATTAATAAGAAATTTTTTTATTCACGTAAACCCAGAACCGGCGCCAGAGCTCATATGGCCACATTGGGCAGCAGATTTTAGGGAAGACAAAATTTTTAGAATTTAGGGAAGACACTGGGACTCAAAATTAAGGGGCAACAAAAATTTAGATTTTAGGGGGAGCTTGGTAGCAAAATTTAGGTTCCGCAGCGACTGCATCAGGCAGCAAAATATTGTAGCACCGGCCCTCAGTAAGCTTAAGTATTTGTGGGAATTTACTTATTTAGGACTCTACTTATTTAGGACTTTACTTATTAGAATTAGACGTAAGTCTAATAAATAACTATATTAATACAATTTGGGCTTAACTGTGTAATAGAAGCAAATAGAAGGTGCATAATAGAAGCAAGGCAAAATTTAACGGAA